AGTTTTATTCATAGTGACGCACTGAGTTACATCGCTGTATTTAGGCGTTACTGTGAAATCTAACGTCACATGCGCGAGAAATGTAAGCCCATTCATCAGTCTCGTCACTATATCACCGAGGCAGCTGGAACAAGGGCCAGACAAACGACGTTATGTTACCTTGCAACAGTACTGACATACTACTGGTATTGACAACTGCGGATACCATGCAGTAGCATTGAACCTGCTGTATTCTGATACTTTCGTAGTCTAGTGTAATCTCGAATCTTCAAGAACACCTGTCGACCAATAAGCGAGGTATATAACTTTCTGGAAGGTATTCCAGTATATCAGTGGGAAGGCGCATGCCTCTTTCTTCTCACACATGAGCGGTTGTCCCAAGATTGCATGTACACCCTGGATACTCAGCCTAGTAACAGGATGCTTGAACCGTGTTGCTGCTTGGTGGCTTTCTCCATTCCTTTAGTTCCATTACCGCTGTATTTTATATTGACATTGAATTTTATACTCTTAATTGTGTACTTCCATTGTAATTCCTTTATGTGATTTGTAATCATTTTGTAAGCTTAGTTAATTTTACAATTCACTAGGGGGCGGTGGGGTAGCCTAGTGGTTAAAGCGTTCGCTCGTCACGCCGAAGACCCGGGTTCGATTCCCTACATGGGTACACTGTGTGAAGCCCATTTCTGGTGTCCCCGCCGTGATATTGCTGGAATATTGCTAAAAGCGACTTTAAAACTAAACCCACTAGCTAACTACAATGCACTTGTTAAATATATATAATGTTTTGCTCTTGTTTCAAATGGACTCCTACCCAGTATGTCTTGCCGAGTGAGTGCATGTTTGACCAGTCCCGGCGGTGCTACTACTTCATTCCCTAAAAGTGCCCATGTAAACCTATCACAGCCCACCACAACTCTTGCAGGCTGTAAGGTGCTCCTAATTCGTGTATTGATATCATACAGGAATGGAAACTGGGTAGTATATATCAATTACTGTTTCCGGCTATCCCCTACTTTTTCCGAAGAGTATACAATCAAACAGAACACGTTACTCGTCAGTGCCGATGCCCTTTCTCGGCAGATTGATCAGGGACCATCTGGCTATCCTCATCAATAATAAACAACATCCTAATTAAACCCAGGGCACTAACGAAACAGTGGAGAAGTAATTGATATGTTCCACATTCAGTAGAGCATGAGCACTTGATCAAATGAAAGGAAGTTCCACTTGGAATGTAATGTTGGATTATATGATCAACTTATTAATATATTCCTACACATGCCCTCGCATTGAATATGCCGTATGGTGGACGACCAGCTCTCCCGACAGCTCCTCGCCACCTGGACAACCTATCTTTGTGTTGACCTGGTCCAGGCCGGGTTGCCCCTGACATTTCACCCCGGTCAGATAGCTATGCCAGTGGCAAGCATAGAACTAAGGAGTTCACGTGTTTTCATAATCGCAATAAGAGGTATTTCTAATGGAACACTCATATTCTTCCGCCGAAAGCCGTCTCGTTAAGTTAAAGCTAACTTATTAGTACCTGTTATGATTCATATCTATCATACTATTCCGCTAAACCATAACGAACGAACACATAAACGATATATATATGATGGGAAGGTAATATATAGATGATGGGAAGGTGATATATAGATGATGGGAAGGTGATATATAGATGATGGGAAGGTGATATATAGGTGATGGGAAGGTGATATGTAGATGATGGGAAGGTGATATATAGATGATGGGAAGGTGATATGTAGATGATGGGAAGGTGATATGTAGATGAAGGGAAGGTGATATATAGATGATGGGAAGGTGATATGTAGATGATGGGAAGGTGATATGTAGATGATGGGAAGGTGATATATAGATGATGGGAAGGTGATATAGAAGATGATGGGAAGAGGTGATATGTAGATGATGGGAAGTGTGACATATATGATGGGAAGGTGATATATATATTGATGATGGGAAGGTGATATATAGATGATGGGAAGGTGATATATAGATGATGGGAAGGTGATATATAGATGATGGGAAGGTGATATGTAGATGATGGGAAGGTGATATATAGATGATGGGAAGGGAAGGTGATATGATATATAGATGATGGGAAGGTGATATATAGATGATGGGAAGGTAATGTATAGATGATAGGAAGGTGATATATAGATGATGGGAAGGTGGTATATAGATGATGGGAAGGTGATGACATATAAATGATGGGAAGGTGGTATATAAATGATAGGAAGGTAATGTATAGATGATGGGAAGGTGATATAGATGATGGGAAAGTGGATGTAAGATAATGGGAAGATAATATAAGATGATGGGAAGGTGATATATAGATGATGCAGAAGGTGATATATAGATGATAGGAAGTGAAGGTGATATATAGATGATGGGAAGGTGATATATATAGATGATGGGAAGGTGATATATGGGAAGGTGATATATGATGGGAAGGTGATATATATAGATGATGGGATAGGATGGGAAGGTGGTATAATATATAGATGATGGGAAGGTGTATATATATAGATGATAATGGGGAATGGGGTAATATAAGGTGATATATAGATGATGGGAAGGTGATATATAGATGATAGGAAGGTGATATATAGATGATGGGAAGGTGATATATAGATGATAGGAAGGTGATATATAGATGATAGAATGTGATATATAGATGATGGGAAGGTAATATATAGATGATGGGAAGGTAATATATAGATGATGGGAAGGTAATATATAGATGATGGGAAGGTCATATATAGATGATATGGGACGGTGATATGATAGATGATAGGAAGGTGATATATAGATGATGGGAAGGTGATATATAGATGATGGGAAGGTGATATATAGATGATGGGAAGGTAATATATAGATGATGGGAAGGTGATATATAGATGATGGGAAGGTGATATGTAGATGATGGGAAGGTGACATATAAATGATGGGAAGGAGATATATAGATGATGGGAAGGTAATATATAGATGATGGGAAGGTGATATATAGATGATGGGAAGGTGATATATAGATGATGGGAAGGTGATATATAGTTGATGGGAAGGTGATATATACATGATAGGAAGGTGATATGTAGATGATGGGAAGGTGATATATAGATGATGGGAAGGTGATATATAAATGATGGGAAGGTGATATGTAGATGATGGGAAGGTGACATATATATGATGGGAAGGTGGTATATTGATGATGGGAAGGTGATATATAGATGATGGGAAGGTGATATATAGATGATGGGAAGGTAATATATAGATGATGGGAAGGTGGTATATTGATGATGGGAAGGTAATGTATAGATGATAGGAAGGTGATATATAGATGATGGGAAGGTGATATATAGATGATGGGAAGGTGATATATAGATGATGGGAAGGTGATATATAGATGATGGGAAGGTGATATACAGATGATGGGAGGGTGATATATAGATGATGGGAAGTTGACATATATATGATGGGATGTGATATACAGGTGGTGGGAGGGTGATATATAGTTGATGGGAAGGTGATATATAGATGGTGGGGCGGTGATATATAGATGATGTTAAGGTGATATATAGATGGTGGGGCGGTGATATATAGATGATGGGAAGGTGATATATAGATGGTGGGGCGGTGATATATAGATGATGGTAAGATGATATATCGATAATAGGAAGGTATTATATAGATGATAGGAATGTGATGTATTGATGGGAAGGTGTTACACTGATAACAGGGAGGCTATATATGGATATACATTTGACACTCATTTCTATTTCCAATACAATCACATTAGAATGTACCTTGTAGAGATATCAATTTGCATTTTAGAAGGTATGTACGGTTTAAGAACAAATCCCATTCAGTTCTGTGGTTAATGTCTGCATGGTGTGTGTGTGCGTGCGTGCGCGCGTGCGTATGTGTGCCATGCTTGTGTAAAACTTAAACAATTTCAATAACATGGAACAATGTACTTGATATTGTTCATGGGAATCAACCGAGGGTGCACGTGGTTATGGCAGCAAGACCAGAATGGATGGATGGTTTCACTGACGTCCCCATGAGTGTAACTTGAGTGTTTAAACACAGCGGATGTCCTAATACATCATGTATGACTAATTGCTGGGATCCCGGGGTTTTCTTTAGGCCTGTCTGTGCCCAGATATGTCACGTGACAGCGTGCTGTACATTGTGTAGGGTTCACTGAGCAAATAGGTCACGTGATTCACCAGTTTTATTGACGTGGAATATGGCGATAAGCAATCAATGGGGATATGATAATTAAACAATAGTCAGTATGCTACTGAATACAAAACACAAGAAAAAGTGGCTGCATGTGGATGTACGGATCAAACATCTCCTGACATATCCAGCTTGGCCCACGGTGTTGTCAGTTGCTGGTTTCAAGATGTGACTACGACGTGATACAGACTTGAAACCATAACGGTATTCCTTGTGTTATTCCTGTCACAGATCAGCAAGATAGTGCAGCCCCACGGGGAACCACAGATCAATAACGAAACCCCTACCACTGGGAGCGGTAGTCAGTATATAACGAACAGATGGAAATAACCAGCCTCACTGCCCACTGCCAAACATTCCCATCATCTCTTCAGGCCAGGTATAGCTGGCGATAATCATGTTCGTCATCAACATCAATGTATGTTTACAATGTGTCACGTATTATTAACATAAAAGTATTTTTGGAAACACTACGTGGTGCATTACAGTTTCACTTGCTAGACAATGGCGACTTGAGCTTTACTCCTGGCCATGATGCAAGTCAATGGTTTGATGGCACTAATGACAGTGTACCGTGAACCAGTCCAGCACACCGACACCCAGTGTCGACGTCTCGGGGAATGTGAACATTCCACCAGCAACACAAGCGTGGCTCCGTGGAACAGCAACTATGGACGTCCTGGAACAATGAGTACCCCTTCCACACAGTCACCGAGCAACACACGCACACCTACCTCTAGCTGTTTACACACGGTGTAACTCCAGTCTGGTCAGAAGCGGCCTGGTGGTGAACAGCAGCTAAACGAACTGCCTGTTCAGTCCTGCGAGACGAGGCTGTGTGGAGTTTTCAGCCTCGGCCTCAATACCGTGTCTACACAACCCACGTGGATTCACTCCACCTGAAGCCCTGATGCCGGCATGTTGAGGCGTGCTAGCGCCATTCACCTCTATGTGACAGGGACCAACCATTCTGTTGACGGACGGAATTGGATATTTTTAGGCACGAGGTTTTCAGTGACATCATCAATGTCGGCGAATACGGGTTTTCTCTGAAACTAGAAGCCGAATATATTTCCGTTCACAACGCGTTACTGTGTTTCTCTGATAAAGGCCGTGTCATATTTCTTCAGTATTTACTGGATTTCGATGAAGTGTCTGTGGGTGGTGGTGGCGGCAGTGTAACACAGCATAAGTATAGGGAGGGAATGTGACATACACATATCGATCTCGTTTGCGCACTCACTCATCACTGCTGGTCCAGTAGGCAGAACATTTCCCCAAAGATCCCCAGGTCGATGGTTCGATTTCCAGGTCGTTACAAATTGTGTCTTGTTGTTCCCCTGGACTTCGGCATTTGATGGATGAAATGACCGTCCGTATTAAACTGGGAAAGGTGGCGCAGTGGGCTAGCACTAAACAATCGGCACCATCAATCCGGACTGGAAGTACAAGCAAACACAAACACGTATACCCACACGGACGCAGGTACGCACACACAAACGCACGTGCACTCACATCTGCGTACGAATGACCATATCACCATGACGAAAGCAACAGTGATTGCATCCAATGTTTTATCATATATTACTGCAAAATGAGACATAATTACACGTGATGCCCGCGGAAAGTTGCCTGTTCAATAAGCAAAGACACGTTGTTTTCGAAAACACAAACGGATGACGGAGAGCCCGGATATAGTGACATCGACGGTGGAGGGTAACAGTTCTAAACCTGTCATCCGCCTGTCTTCTGGTAGATACGAGATGCCTTTTACTTTCACTTTCATCTTGAATTTGCAAGGTATGAATCAACCAACGTATTGTACCGATATTACCCAGTTATGGGTGTGCCTGTACTAACGCAACCCGGCCTATATTCAGAAACGAACTAAGAATATACAAACATCGGATTAGGAACAAGTTCAATCGCAGCCATCTCTTACATAAACCCTGTACACATCCAACTGTTTTCCTAACAAGCCATGTACATGTCCAGCTGTTTTATTCCCCAACAAGCCCTTTACGTGTCCAACTTGTTATTCCCTAACAAAGCCATGTACGTGTCCAACTGTTTATTCCTTAACAAAGCCATGTACGTGTCCAACTGTTTATTTTTACAAACCATGTGCGTGTCCAACTGTTTATTCCCTAACAGGCCATGTACGATTCAACTTTTATTCCCAAGCCCCTGTACACTTCCAACTGTTTGTTTAACAAGCCATGTAGTATCTAGCTGTTACGTCAACTGTTTGTTTCTTAACAAACCATTCTAGCTGTAACTGTTTGTTGTTTCTTAACAAGCCATGTACGTGTCTAGCTGTACACTTCCAACTGTTTGTTTCTTAACAAAGCCATGTACGTGTCTAGCTGTACACTTCCAACTGTTTGTTTCTTAACAAATCATGTACGTGTCTAGCTGTACACGTCCAACTGTTTGTTTCTTAACAAGCCATGTACGTGTCTAGCTGTACACTTCCAACTGTTTGTTTCTTAACAAGCCATAATACGTGCCAACTGTTTATTTTTTACAAACCATAGCGGAGTGTTCAACTGTTTATTCCTTAACGAAGACCCATGTGCTTAGACCGTTCAACTTTTTATTCCGTAACAAGCCCTGTACACTTCCAACTGTTTTGTTTCTTAACAAACCATGTACGTGTCTAGCTGTACACGTCAACTGTTTGTTTTCTTAACAAACCATGTACGTGTCTAGCTGTACACATAACTGGGGTAAGGAAGGCCAACACCAACCAAGCAACTGGAATACCACTCAAAGGGCATTAAATACAACTGAGGTTTTGAATGACTCACTGACTGTCTGGAACCCATTTGTGATTACAAAGCAGTATAGTATGTATGCAGGCATGTTGACATAGGCAAGAACATACAACAGAATAAAGAAATATTTCCATGTCGACTTCGTTTGATTCCTGACTTACCATGACCTATGGCACATTGATGTTACTTGTTCCAGAGACGCACAAAGGTATTCAATCAATATCAGCACAATATCTGCGAACGCTGGTCAGTACAGATGTATTGACTGACTTCATCTCACTGCTGCTCCAGTTCAGGTTCATGATCCGTGGTTATGTGGGGCGACCGGTGTTTGTTAAACTGGTTATGTTAGAAAATGTAGTATAGCTATGTAATAATGACACAGTGTATGACCCAATGACTAATGGCTCAATGTAATAGTGGAACAATGTAATGATGAAACGATGGTGAATGGCGCAATTTGTTTATGAAACAATGGATAATAACAAAATGCAATATAGAATAAAAATGGCCAACGACACAATGTTATGATGAAACAATAGATAATGACACGATGTAATAAGGAAACAATGGATAATGACGAAATGTAATTATGAACGAATGATGACGGGACAACACTTTGCACTGGAAATCTGTTGGATACGGCGATTTGTCAGTCGCAGCAATCAAGGCTGCGTGGTTATTCAGCGCGGAAACATCCTCCGGGCTTACACCAAATTTTAAAGAGAGTTGAAGCTTGCTGATTTCGGTAACTGCACCCATGTCAAAGTCAAAGATGATTATTGTACCAAAGGCCTCAGGCCCATATACATTGGAGTTATACATATACATTATACATATGATACAATGAAGTAGTAATTAGTGATCAAACAGCAAATCATGATACAGGCAGCAAATTATGTACAAGTAGTGAAATATGATGGACCTACAAAACTTGTTATCCAGATTATTTACGTTTAATAAGAGCATAATTGATATAGTACGACAGCTTTATTATTACATGCTGGTCAGTTGATGAAAGAAGTAGTTTAAATGCTAATGTAGGTGGCTTACATAGATAATATTCAACTATATATTTCGTACGCAAATCTTATACAAAGGACATACACAAGTAAAAATGGATTACATTTTCCACATCTATATTACACAGTGGGCACATTCATTTTGCATCGTTCAATATCAAAACGTCTTCCTTCGTTTACCATTATGTTGATCAAACCTAACCTAAAACGTATAAATGGATATCTTAATTTCTTTGATGTTCAAAACGACAGATATTTCTCCGGCTGGAGTAGTGATTTGTATATTCTATAAGAGTCGTACCGTGAATTATTATGTATTACTGAATACCATTATATTCTTGATTAAAACATATTAAGACGTCTTTCTCGAAACTGAGTTAAAAACAAACTTGCATGCACCAACTGACTGACTTAACCATACAAAACCACAACCATGTGAAAACAGAAGATTTCTTACATAAGATGCCCACGCCACTTTACCAATGTTGTCCAAATGAACAAGCATGTTATAAGCCTTTTCTGGGTAATCTATGTTCTTGCATACACAATATCTTAAACCAGAATTTTATACATCGAATATGAGCATATATATATAAAGGGGATACCTCCACATTCACCGTACGCCATACAATTCAGGTGTAGGGGTCCTCCATTTAAAATTTCTTACAGGCCATCAGATGTATTTTTTTTTCTATATTCATATCTCTCACTGGAATCCCTAAATCTCGGATCCATACAAAGAATAGGCTGAATTTGACAATCAAATAGTTTAAAGTAAATGCAGGCGTCAACACGCGAATTTTACACAAGGCAGATAAAAGACTTATCAATGCTTTCTTAGCTTTCAATGAAAATTCAGTAACAGATGCTTTACAGTTCATAGCAGACGTAAACTTAATACCAAGATAATTTTATTGTTCAGAGACAATTACAGGTTGGTCATTAAAGGACCACCTTTCTTTAGAAGATATCCGGCCACCTTTTCTAAATATAACAATATTAGTTTTATCTAGATTAACGGATAAATCCCATGTTTAAGTATACCGTTCCAATACCCAGACTGTTAAAACCTTTAGTGACCACTGGTTCCTCCTTTGTTTTCCTCAGTATCGCTTCCCTTTGTTCTTGTTTGATATCATAGGATGACAGAAAGAAGTGGGGCGAAACGACCGTCACTTTCCTCATATTTTACAAAATCTTGAGATTAGACAGCTTCTAGGGTTGAGACGTGGAGCTGGTATACATTCAACAGATTTAAAAGTCAATATTGCTGAAAAGTTCGTCCGAACAACAAATACGATATTACGCGGTCCGACTGCTTGTCCATGGCTCTCCACTTCGGCGCGCACATTGTGAATTTGTGACGTACAGAAATGACGTACCAGAAATGACCGTGCTTGTGACGTCATTATGAGAACTGTCGATCAAAAGTAGGCGGAGTTCTAAGTCAGTTAGAATCTAAGTAGAGAAATCGTAATGGTCACTAAGATTTGTACAGTGTACATATATTCTAACTATTACGAAGGGGCACACACTTGCTGGGGCCATCTCACATCCACCAAGACCAGCTGTGTGTAGAAGGTCGCCTTGTGTGGTACTGTAAGGTTAAGTATGTATCGGGCAACAGTTGCCTCATCAAACACCCGTCTCGTCATGTGGCGGTACTGTGAGTTAGATTGTATCGGGCAACGCTTTGCCTCATCAAACACCCGTCTCGACATGTAATGGTACTGTGAGTTAGATTGTATCGGGCAACAGTTGCCTCATCAAACACCCGTCTCGACATGTGGTACTGTAGGTTAGATTGTATCGGGCAACACTTGCCTCATCAAACACCCGTCTCGACATGTGGTACTGTGAGTTAAGATTGTATCGGGCAGCAGTTGCCTCATCCAAACTACCCGTCTCGTCGTATTATTGGTACTGGGTGGTTAGATTGTATCAGGCAACACTTTGCCTCATCAAACACCCGTCTCGACATGTGTGGTACTGTGAGTTAGATTATCGGGCAACGCTTGCCTCATCAAACACCCGTCTCATACATGTATTGGTACTGTAGAGTTAATAGATTGTATCGGGCAGCAGTTGCCTCATCAAACACCCAAATCTCGACATGTGTGTGGTACTGTAGAGTTAGATTGTATCGGCAGCACTTGCCTCATCAACGGAAACACCGTCTCGACATGTGTGGTACTGTGAGTTAAGATTGTA